TTTCAAACTAGTAAATGAATATATTTAAGTGAAAACCAATGAACGTGCTATTTTGCATGCTATTTCAATGAGGCACAAATGGAAAAAAACTCTATCCTACAACTTAATGACTTTAAATGACCCATGTTTGCCGGCAGTATAATTATATAGTGTACACACTTTCATAGGAAATGACTCCTCAAAAAGTGTACACTTGTTTTGAACAACTGCTCTGTCAGAGAGTCAAGAAAAGAGGAAGACCAAATTGACAGCATAGTCAAACAAACTGTAGAGGCCTTTGAATTCAATGCCTCTTTCCTCTGCTGCACTGTCTTCCGACTCTAGGGTACTTTGAATACAACTTGCGCCTGCATAAAATCTCGTTTTAAGTTCCATTTCATGAGTGTTTCAACGGAAACTGACGTGTGAAGAATTGGCACACAAATCACTCAACGAATGGATACCTATCAGTATTGCAAAACTCATCTTTTTCATAACATGAAAAAATATGCAAACACCTGCTCTTACCATCTGGTGCATGTGCATGCATGATTCAAAAATTCCTCGTGAGTGAATCCAAAAATGTTATTCTGTGTGGCAATGGAAAACCAAGTACACAGAGGATCTTACAGGAAATACGGGAAAAGCAAAGGATTGGTTATAGGAAAGTAAAACAATCCTTAAACCATATGTGTTACAAATTTTTAAATATCCCCATGCATGGTTTTTTAATAATAATGATAATAATAATGGATTGCATTTATATAGCGCTTTTCGGGGCCCTCAAAGTGCTTTACAATTTCACTATTCATTCACTCTCACATTCACACACTGGTGATGGCAAGCTACAGTTGTAGCCACAGCTGCCCTGGGGCAGACTGACAGAAGCGAGGCTGCCATATCGCGCCATCGGCCCCTCTGGCCGTCACCAGTAGGCGGCAGGTGAAGTGTCTTGCCCGAGGACACAACGACCGAGACTGTCCGAGCCGGGGCTCGAACCGGCAACCTTCCGGTTACAAGACGAACTGCCAACTCTTTCTTATCACTTTACATGGTGACAAGAAAGAGGGTTGGTTGCTTTGTTCCAATGAATAAGGAAAAAACAAACAGCAACGAAATACGGTCTGGAGGTGTATGTGACTGTAATTTGATTCCCAGTTACAGACTTTCTAGTCGGTGTCCTTGTATTCATTGAAATATGGTGTCGTCTTAAACAATGTTTCTCAAAGTAGAAACAAAGTAGTTTTACACATTTTAAAGGAACAAGGCCACCTTGAAATGGAAGCATTTGAATTTGTCACTGTTTTGCCCATTTCCTGAAGTTGTGGCATGGTGCAGTTGATGACTGCCATGCAGATGTAGCTTCAACAATAATTCATGACATAACAGAATTCCACTGAACAACTCCTGCTGATCAAAGACAGTTCTGAACCTGTGCAGACCTCGCACCCTTATTCTTTAAACTATCTAGGATTGTTTTTAGTCATCTCCAATTAGGACTTTGCATAACTGCACGGTATGAACTGATTGGTCATCATAGCAAAATTATCAACAGACATACCAATATGATTATGTAGTCATTCATTTCAAGTGAGAAAGCAATTGTCATTTCAACTCAAAGTACACACTGTACAAAGTAAATGTATCAGACTAAAAGTGATGTCTTTTTCTGGGAGTCAACAATGACCAACAAAGAAGATTATTTCAACCGAAATGTAGTATGACATGTAGTATGACATGTAGTATGACAGTATGGCAAATAACCACATTAGTTGCCTTATTAATTTAATTTGAAAATGCAAAAAAAAAAGAAGAAGAAGAAGAAAAAGACACCAACAGCATGAACATGTACATTTTAAATGAAAGTAGAAACTGTCCATTGAGGCCAAAGCTATTTCTATTAATATGAGAGTGTCTGTGGACTGAATAATTTTTGAAGCAAGCCTCAAGTGGCCACTAGAGGAATTGCAGTTTTTGTCACTACACTGTTGGCTTGCCCAAAGTGTAGCATGCCCCTTGGACATACCTAATGTGATTATCATTTTCATTTCTGTGGATGTGAAATGCAAAAGAGTATGATAAGAAAACCAAGTGAAGTACTGTAACTGAAACAGTTAAGCATCCAAATGAAGAGAGATAAGAGGAGTATTTAACAGGTAAGATAACAGTACAGCTCTAGCTTTTTTAACAGCATTTTAAGATTACAAGCAAAGTAAAGTAAATATACAGTGCCTTTACTGAATATGCAATGCGAGAACATTATAAAATTGGAAAGCTCTCACTGACTATATGCCTAAAATATGTTTTCCATCTTTAAACAAGAGCGTTTCTTCTTATTTTTGATCAGGCAGATTTTTCAGGTAACAGTGATATGGCTGAAGCTAGTCCATTTATCAGTTTCCACCCAGATCACTTAAGTTATAAAGAACCGACCAAAAAGTACTTTGTCATATCTGGTACTCTAAGAGAAAAATAATTATCCGAGGTAATTCTCAGAATGTGTAAGGTCAATGAGTTCATCACTGTGCTCTGGAAGTGAACCGAAGTCGTCGAGGTTGTCCAATCACAGAGCTTGGAGCAAGAAAGTAGGGAAAGTCTGCTATTTGCCACGCTGTTTCCAACAAACAACACCTTGTTACATGAAAAACTCTTGCCCATGCCAATAGTTAGTTTCAAAACTCTTATTTTTTTCTTAATATTATGATTTGTTCTGTTTCTCAAAGCAGTAAAATAGTAAACATCCTTATCTTCACCCAGCTGCTTTAGCCTGCCAGTGACCTTATGCCAAGTTCTTAGTTAACTTTTGTGACACATGGACGCTGCCCATTTGCTCTGAATAGATAAAGCAGCAATTTAGTGACAGTTTGCAGGAGCACAGTGTGTGTTATACATAACTCAGTGTTTACATTCAGTGTTACTCCTCAATATGCAGTGTCTATGTCCTTGAACTATATAAAATGTTGAACATATTTTTCGTCTTAGTGAAACAACAATGCATTTTAAATGTATTACATGTGTCTCCTCCCGCTGTTGTACTGCTGGCACAGTGACACATATTTGCAAAATAAACAGAAAATGGGATCTACTGAAAAGTCTTTCCTCCCTTCACTTTGTGAAATTGTCATCCAGGTCAAGGCTGAATGGAAAGTCCTGCAGAATGGTACACAGCTACTTCTGTGTATCCACACCCATTTTTTATTCATCCTGTGCACTATGGTGACAGTGCTTAGTGGGACAGATCTCATCATCTGCGTATCCATATTTGGTTATGAGCAGTATATATGATAGTATTGGATTCCAAGAGTCCACTGTCGCTGTGGCTAGTTTTCCTACTGAAGAGATTACTAACGGTGCTACTAGCACGGCTCTCTTTGAAGGCCCGAAAAGAGTTGCTTTCTAAGGTGGCACATGGAAGTTTGCATTAGAGGCGTTGAATACGTATGTTTCTGTTGTTTGTGCTTTAAAACTAATAATAATAATAATAATAATAATAATAATAATAATAATAATAATAATAATAA